TAAACCTCCTCCTGTAACTTCTGGCTAACAGCTCCAGCTTCTGCACCAGGAGGAGTTGCTGGGCTTTCCCAGCAGATTGCTGGCAGATAAACTGTCATTAGTCACCAAAGCTCTGCTCTGCAGGATCTCCTCTCACCTTCTCCACCTTATCACCTGCTGCTTGGGATTCTCTGAAATAAATGAACGGGAAAGAATACAAGGTGAAAACAAAACAAACCCAAAGACTCTGCGTGTAAGTGTTAATCTGGATCCATCTTGTACCTGACAGGAGGTTGTACTGAGCTGGGGTTGGTCTTTTCCTCCCGGTAACAAGTGACAGCATGGGAGGAAACAGCCTCAGGTTGTGCCAGGGGAGGTTAATGTTGGATATTTAGAAAAATTCCTGCGTGGATAGAGTTGTCCTCCTCTGGGCAGCAGTGGAGTCCCCATCCCTGGGATTTAAAAGCCATGTGGATGTGGCACTTGGGACATGGGTTAATGGCAGTGCTGAGGAAACTGCTGGATTTGATGATCTTACAGAACTTTTCCAACATAACTGATTCTGTGTTTCTATGAACACAATGATTAATAAGTTACATTACGGCAGAGGGGAAAAAAATGGCCTGACAGCCAATGCCTGCAGCCACCTCCAGCCCCCTCCTGAGGGAAATCATGCACAGCCTCAGCACCCTCTGACAGACAAACACCTCCTCGGGATGTCAGGCAGCTGAAAATTTACATTTCAGCACCAGCTTTACATTCAAGCAAACGGCAGGGCCACTGCAGAGCAAACACGAGTCCCATTACCTCAGAGCACTCGGCATGCAAAGCACACTTCAGGGCTGGGGGGGGGGTGAAGGAGATTGCAGGAATTTTTTCCTGAAATGGAATGGGGAGATAAGATCGAGTGAAAAGGAGCAGAGGCTGCTGACATATCTAGACTCCCAGAAGCCAGTAAATATGCAAATGGGCTGCCATTTCTGCCAGTAACACTCAGAACCAACTTTGATTCTGCTAAAACATACCGCATTAAACAAGGGAGATAAGCCCGGCACTGAATCCACACAGAGCAGCTCCCTTTGACCAAGACAGCTTTACTTCTCACTCCAGGAAATCCTGAACAATGCTTTCTATTCAGAGCCTCCACTCTGACTATCACAGTGTTTATGAATAACTTTGGCCATTTACCTTTTAGTAGTCTGATTTGCTATTAAAAACTCTACACAAAGCCATAAACCACCCTGGAAAAGCTGCATCCATCCAGTCCCAGTGACAAATCCTTCCCCAAACCAGGACAGGGCTTGCTGCCCCGAAGCCACAAACAGCAAATTTCACATGGGATGTCAGAGAGGAGAAAAAGAAAGGGTGTACTGAGTGTGCATCCCTGGAGACAGATTACAGAGCAAGAACTGAAGCTGATGTGACCTGATAGCGATGATAAACTCAGGAGATGATAAAGGCATTCCCTGGACATCCACCCAGGGCTTGTCCTTGGGGTTTGGACAGACACACCACGCAGAAATATGGACGCATGAAAATGTTAAATACAGACATGGTTTGTTCTCATGTACATGAAGTATACACATGTGAAATAACAGACGTATATTCAAACACCAGAGGCAAAGAAAGCATTTCTTATTTTCACTCCATTTTATCTGCCTACCACCTCTGAATCAGCAAGATGAGCTCAAAGGCCAGTGCTGGCTCTAGCCTGAGGTATGCATTTTGCACATTGCTAAACAAAAACAAAAGCAGCTCTGCCCTGCCACAGCAGGGGCTGAACTCAGCCTGGATAACTAAATCCATTCGATGAGGCTGTTCCCTAAGAGAAGGAAAGCAGCACAACCTGCAGCCCTCCTCGACAGCCCTTGGCTGCTCTTCTGAGACTCCAGCACACAGGCAAGAGTATCCAGAACTTCAAGCGACCGTCAGCATCAAAAAATAAGCATGTACAGAAGCCAGGGAGATGCAAACAATAAAACCCAGACCTTTGCAGGCTGAATAAGCCTCCCACATGTGGCACAATACAACAGGAACAATTTCCCCAGCAAAGCCAGGCACTGCAGGGAGATGAAAGCTCCAGTTCTCCAGGAGCAGGACCTGCAGGCAGCAGGGAGGCATCAGGAATTCCCAGGAGCAGGAACGACACCCAAACGTGCGGCAAACACAGCAGAGAGCAATCCACCAGGAGGTGGCTGGAGAAGGCTCCCAGCGCAGCAGGAAGGTTATGACAAAGCAGGTTTGCTGGCAGGAGGAGAAGCAGAGACACGGACAGGGCTGAGAGGGCCTGCTCCAGGAGAGAAGAGCCGAGGGAGGAGGGAACAGCCCAGCAGCTGGGAAATGCCAGCCCAGGGAACACCTGTGCCCACCTGAGCTCAGTCCATGCCCCTTCCATCCCGGCCAGCCCAGCAGTGCCCTGGCAGAACAGCAGGACCTGGCCTGTGTCTGCCTGGGTTTCACAGCCACACTCGCTGGCTGGCTCCAGCATGTGCTCAGAACTCCCTTATCCCTATCCCGAGGCTGCCATAATTCCCATTTTAGCTGCCAGTGCTGGGAAGGAGCCTCAGAGCTATATGCTGAGGCCCTGGAATTTAAATATACGATAACACTGTAAATAAAAGGAAACAAATTCCTTAAGGAAAACCTTTTCACATGCCAGATCAGTTCCCAATAGTAACTGCTCTGCTTTGACAAGAGATAAATATTTACAGTCTGAAACAGAGAACACCTTGTGTTGCAATACTGGAACACAAACCTTGTCAGTCCCAGTATCCTGAAGAGAGGGTTTTGATATTTTAAAGAAAAAAATTAGAAATAAACCCCCAAGCTGAGCACTTAGAAGCACACACACATTATTGTGCTCATTTACCCCACCAAAACAAAAACCTGAAGCTAGTCACACAAAGAAATTGTCAAACATGCTGAATCCAGAACAGATTTTCTCAAAAGGAGACCTCATCCCCCAGGGAATGTAGACAGTTTACAGCAAAAGTCTAAATTATTGCCAAAAATATGCTGCTTTTTTTATTTATTTAAATATAGTCTAAGTTGCTCCTCTTAGACATTCCGCCAGTGAATGCAGACACTGAAGATTTTTCCTACTGGAGCAAAAAGGCAGCAAGGAGGATCAGATGTCCATATCCAGCTCCTTGGACTGGGGCATCCCACACCAGGAATGCCCTCAGGAAGAGGGAAGAGAAAGGCCAACAGCTAAAGCCTGAGCTATCTCTGCACTTCCAGCATGACTCCCAACCTCTGGGCCTGATCAGCTCCTTCCAGCTAAGGAAAGAATGTTGGGAATGTCATTCATACTGGCACTTGGGAAGATCCAGGCATGGGAAGTGCACAATGGCTGGATATCCCTGTCTGAGGAGGGAGACGAGCCTGCCGCAAGGAGATGCTCTCATTTCTGCCCAGCTCAGGTTGCTCAGGTTTGCTGCCATTTTAAATGAGCTGAACACCTCATTAAACATGAGTGCTTTTTTTTGCTGCACTGTCTGAGCAGCCCAAATACCAGTTTCTGAGAGGACCTGCACGAGGCCAGCCTGGCTGAGCAGGATTTCATATCTGAGGTGCAATTTTCCTCACCCAACTGCTGTTGGGGCTTTTATGGCCCGCTCCCTTTGAAGTGGGGCAGCCAGAAGAGTTCAATGTCTACCTGCCACACTCAGTTCCCTCACTTCCTCCTCCCCTTCCCAGGGAATTATTCCCCTGGGCAGCACTGTCCTGCCTTGGCCTGGCTGCTGCTCCACAATCCCATCCCTGCAGTCAGCCAAGCCTTATGTTCCATGCTCAAGTTCTCCATTTGCTCCCCTGCTTCCAGCATCCCTGCACAGCAGTTTATTTTTAGCCCAGCATTTTTAGAGCAAAGCCCAGAAGCAGCACACTTTCAGTGCCAAACAAAATTCAGCTGTGACTCTAATGCTGTCAGCTGACAGGAGGACATGGGTTTGGTGGCAACACAACACTGGGGTGACTCTGTGGCTGCCACCCAGGGCCACTGCTGGCCCCTGTGGGCTCTCCCAGCTGCACACACCAGTGGTCCTGGGCTGCCACAAGGGATGGTGACTCTGCCACTCCCTGGGCAGCTCCTTCCAAAGCCTGACAACTCTTTCAGGGGAGAAATTCCTCCTGATGTCTACCCCAAACGTTGGGACACAGAACTGTGCTGACCCAGGAGAGGCCAGAGCCACCCCCTTCCAGGTCCACATGAATGTTTGCAGTTTGGGGTCACCACTGACAGCCAGATCAAGGCAAAGGGGAGATCCCTGCTGGTCTTAACCACCAATACAGACAAGGAGAAGTGCCCCAATGTAGAAAGTGAGGCTCCTGCTCAGGTTTATCATCAGCTTTCTGTGGTCAGAGGTGGTTTTCAAGTTCTAAATACTAATATTTGCCTTCTTTTGACTATAGCTTGTTGTTTCAGTGCAATTATAGAATAACAGAATCAGATCCAGCAGGTACCACCACCACCTTTTTCTGTTGACAGAACACAACTTAGTAGAGGCAACAGCAGTAAGAGACACCCAGTCACAGCAACTGAGATGCACAAAACCATGTAATCTGTGTAAATCCACCCAAAATCTGCAGGGATGGCTCAGAAAATTGCACAGTAAAAGGCTTTTCTACTGTCAACAGCTCACAGAATGTCCTCCTGAACAAGACTGCAATGACAAGGCCATCTTCTCCAAGGCATAAAGCAGCCAGTGACAGAGCCACACTCTGCCCTGAAATCACATAAAGCCTTTTTGCCCACTGACCCAGAAGTCTCCAGCTTTTCTGCAGGTTCGATAATTTATAACACAAAACCTCAGATTGCTTTTTCCTGTCACAAGCTGATGGTTTTTGCAAAGCTTCAAGCAGGAAGTGTTTTTCCTAATTCTAAATATTTCATTCACTTATTATGATTAAGCCCATCCTCAAAGCCTTCATCTGAGGCTGAAGAGGGATGAAAAAGGGGATGAAGAAAAGCCTGAAAAGGAGAGGCAAACACAGCCCCCAAGGAAGCATTAGGTACCTACCATGTACAATCAGAATAAATACTCCTTTCTAGTCCTCTCCCTTCTCCTTTGATCATCCTTCCAGGTCAATATCTTGTGAGAGGCAATCCTGACTCAAATGTATCCTTCAGCCTCCACCAGGCTCTGACAGCAGGTATCAGCTGTGGAAACAAGTAAGTAAAGAACATTTCCTCCCAACCAAAGCCCTGCTATTTGACTCAAACAAGAAATCTGTCTTGGGGAGGAAAAATGCACAACAGAATCCACATGGAGAGTAATTTATTTTATTTATTTTTTTTCCCATGCATACCAGGTAGTGAGGAAGAACCACTTTGCACAGGGAGCAAAGACAGACTGAGCTTTGCAACAACCCAACAGAGCAGACCCTGCTCACATTGATGGAATGATTAAGGTTGGAAAAAACCTCCAGGACCATCGAGTTCAACCATTAACTCAGCCAGGTCTGTTTCTTTCCCTGCCCCTGAAGATGCTCCAACAGCACAAACCACACTCAAACTGCACCATCTCCCTGGCACGGCAGCAGGAAGCTGCACTTCACTTTCTTAAAAACGTGCCAGCCTTCATCCCCTCCAGCAAGACCTCCACAAGAAACATGATCCAGGTTCCTCTGAGTTATTCTGAAGCATTCTGTGCTGCCTTTCCCCCAAGCAGGCTGAAGAAATAAGCCAGGCTTCCCAGCAAGACACACACCCCGCTGTGCTGCACAAGGCCAGCTCGGTGTCACCATCCTGGGGACCTCACTCCCGCTGTGCCTGGACAGATCCCCTCTCCTGACTCACCCACAGCACTGGGGACAGCAATTTCTTTTTATTACAAGTCTCTGCTGGCTGGAGAAAACGACTGCCTTCACTTGAAGACATGAGTCCCACATATGCAGTGCTGTAAAACATAACCCAGCATGCAGGAAAGCTCAGTTTTACCCAGGGATTCTTCCTTCAGGACCCATCCCGACAGACAGTCTGCACACAGCTCTTCCCTTTCCAGTGCTCCTGGGCATTCCATGATCTTTGCATCCCTGTCTGTCTGCAGCTGGACCCACTGCATCCAAAGTCAAGGCCAACAGCCCATCTTCCATCTCACTCCACCTCCTTCCAAACCAGTGTTCACAATTACCTGCCCACTCCTCCCTGCCCTGAGCTCCCAAGGTCAGAGCTCACAGACTCTTCCAGTTTGCACAATCCTCGTTGTTACAAAGGTGTGAAAAATGCAATTTCCCCCCATTCTTGTGCACATTATTTGAGCAGAGGAGCAAACCTCACCACTCCACACGCACATGGACCTGCAGTAAAAGGCAGCCTATGCTTTTGGCTCTCCAGGAGAAGCGCCTGTATTGAGGATTTCACCAGAACCCACCACAAACAGTAACAAGGACTAGGTAACTGTAGCTCCCACGGGGGAAAATGTAACCTTTCAAATGCTTTGAAAAACACTCCTGAGAATTTCTTGGGAACAGCACACACCAGGATCAATTCCTTATTTCAGGCTCACATTGAGCACCTCTTCCTTGGAGATGAAATTCTGTCAACACAACCCCAAAACCAACCTGAGCATTATTTTCCCTGAGCAAATGCAACATAAGCTGCTGGAGCACATCAGGAAAATCCAGGCAGGAGAAGGATGGGACAGCCCAGTTATGAGTAACTGCTATTCCTCAAAGTGCAGTTAACACAAATTCTATCAGCAAACCAATGCTCACGTGACAAATGGAAGTTCATTTTACACGGAACAAGACACAGTGTACTAATGCTCCCAGAATTTAACTGTAATTAAGTCTCGCTGACAGACACCTCATTAAAGCGCCACTTCTCCAGAAAAATTAATAAAGTGAATTATTTCCTACATGTGAAATATCAGGGTTTTTCACTGCTCATGAAAGATACATGGAGTTCAGTTCAGCTGGATGTCACTGCTCTCCGGAATGAAGGAGTGACATGCTTAAAAAGACATTTAAAACAACACACTGCTGTGCTGCCAAAACCCAGGCCGAGGTGCTCAGCTCCTGAACGTTCTTTTATCCTGTGATGGCAGAAAATAAAACCCTTGAAACACAATTCTTCTTCCAGCAGATACAGACAGATAGATACATAGACAGATGAAATAACTGGCTTGTTATTAGAAAACCAAACTAAATTAAGATAACCTAATTTTGGCCAAACTAAAAAAAAAAAAGATTCTCCTGACCCAAAGATCCAGTTTTCAAATTGCAACTTTTTGGGGTTGAAATGCTTCTTATGTGATGAACAGAGGTTCAGCCACTGATGAGGGGGGCAGAGGGCTGAGTGTGCCCAGGACCACAAGCCAACACACATTCCTGTGCACAGGGAGATGGCTCTTTGAGGCACATTTTAATCAAACTTCTCTGAGGTAATAGCCAATACAAAATGAGCTAAAAAACATGGAGCTGATCAAGATGTGCCCAGTAATGAATGCCTGAGTTTTCAGAAGGGAAGGCCAAGCTGCAATTCCTTGCAAAGGAAAAACCACAGAAGCTTTCCAAGAGATTTTACAGTCCTTTTCTAATTGTTCCCTTTTTCAACATCATTATGCAACCTCCGTGTGCTTTCCTGCTTCTCTACCCCCCTTTATTTCACCCGTTCTCCCCCCACCAACTTCTTCTAAATGTTCTGAGGCAGCTCCTTTAAGACAGCCAGAAATACAGTGCAGATTTTTCTCTCCTCCTCCTCCTCCTCTCAGTTTAAACTGCCCAAATCTTTCCGGTGAAGAAACATTGCCCAAAATCTGCTCACTATTCAAGGAGCCCTGGCAATGACAAGCAGCACTTCATGAATCATCTGTTATATATTGCCTTATCAACACGGTCCACTGCAGGAGAAAGTAAACCTGGCCCACTTTGGGCTTGTGCATAACACAATCAAAATGCAAGTGGCATTAATTACAGGAGGGCTCTGAGGAGGTCCCTCATCCAAGGATCCAATATAGGCTATATATATATACATACATATATATATATATACACGCATATATATATGTATTTGAGACAACCTAAGTCAACCCAAAATGCTAACAGCCATTTCCTCCCCCATCACACACAGCTTTTACTTTAATATTTTAAAAGACTGCTTACCCCTTTTACTGGTTACCAATATTGCTACATTTCTAATTATTAAAGCAGACAGCGTTAGTGTTCCTGCTGTTTGTCAGCTTCAGCTATTTGAGGCAAACACACATATTTTTATGGGTTTTTCCCCCACAAGCTCAGCAAGAGAGGGGAACCTTGCACTGCTCTGTTACCTTGCATGGCTCTGGAGCATGCTTGGACCTGGGGAAGCTGGAAGCAAAGGTAAATGAAAAGGAGAAGCTATCCATGAGGGAAGTGGGCTCAAAACCGAAAAGCAATTGTGAATTCAGTGACAAGACAAATCTCACTGGCTTCTCTGCCCAGTGGAACACATCCTTACAAAAGCAAAAACTCAAGGGGTTCCAGCAGGACTCTGATAAAATCTAAACCCACACAGACTTGTTAGCAGGATTTTAAAAGATGATGGAAACGTGATGGGAAAACTGGAAACAAGCTAAAGGTGAACTGGCAGAGCAACAAAGTAGAATGTGACACCACTGAAGAAGCCAGCAAGAAGAATACTTGGCAAATATTTAACAAATGTCATTACCAGTGGCCCAATAAAATGTTCAATTAATATTTCCCTGTGGTTTGGGACAAGCTCTGCCATTTGAAACAGGCCAGCAACAGATCCCACTGAGCAAATAAACTCCTTTGTGTATACTCAGCCATGGGTACAAGATGAGTGAAATACAGTCCCGAGCTGGGGTTCATATTTTTTTAATACATAAATATAAATACACAATGCCAAGAAGTGCACAAACACTTCTTTAGCTGGAGGAGGACACCAAAGAAGCGTTTTAATCCCAAGATTAAGCTGGCACAGCTGGGCAGTGAGCACTCAAGTTCTCAAACCCTGAAGGGAGCATCACTTAGCCCACACTGACCCAGGGTAACCTCAACAGCACATGGGACAGCTGGTTACAGTGACCTTACAAAGGCACAGCGTGGCATACCAGCATGAGGGAAAGCTGGAAGATGAAGGAAAACTCCTGAAATATTTGATTTATCTCATCTTACATATTTTATGGGCAAGTTTTAGTCACAACACTTTGTTTGCAAGGTGTTTGGGCACTTCAGGTATAGAAAGTCTGCAGCTTCCCCTGATTTGAAACGTGCAAATGAACCTCGAGGACAAGTTTCAAGTACCACAGCAAGTTTCTGGATCACAGATACACCTTAAACTGGCTTTAAAAGGCCTATTCCCCAGAAAGCACAAAGCATTTGAAAGAGAGATAAAGAGAGCAAACTGAGCCAAACCCAGAGGCAATTTTAACCTTTGTTTTGGACAAGTCCTGCTCCTCACCCCTGCAGTCCCATGGAGAGGTTTAAGGCTGAAGACTCAACAACAGCTTTTCAGCAGGTTATAAACAGGCAGCTCCTGTGCTTCCACCTCTGCCCATGGGAGGAAGGGTGGAAGGCTGCGTGGGGAGGGTGGGCAGGCCCTGGCACAGGGTGCCCAGAGCAGCTGTGGCTGCCCCTGGATCCCTGGAAGTGTCCAAGGCCAGGTTGGACATTGGGGCTTGGAGCAGCCTGGGACAGTGGGAGGTGTCCCTGCCGTGGCAGGGGTAGGATGGGATGGGCTTTAAGGTGCCTCCCAACACCACCTATTCCATGATTGTATGGCCAGAAGAACAGGCACTGACCGTGGGGCTGCAGTTACTCTGCTCAAGCTGCTGCTCTCCAGGAGTGGGCAAACCACGAGGCTGGCATGTCACGGGCTGGTGCTGAAAGCAGAACAACCTGACAACTTGGGCAAAGCCTCCACCAAAAATCATCCCTCAGCTAACACAGGTCCATGGGACATGCAAACCTTCACAGTCCTGATGCTCTAAGGGCTCAGGAGGCAGTCTGGAGTTCAAGCCCTTAAAGATTTGGGCAAAACATGTTTCTTCAAGACAACCCACTGCCATCTGCTCCTACCTAAATATCTCCTATCAGGTCCTGCTACCAGGTAACTTCTGCAGGAGTTCATCAATCCCCAGGCGTCTGTAAACACATCACTACTAGTTTAAGAAAAACCCCTCATTCTTGTATTTACCTTTTCCTGCTGTTATTGCACTGCTGTTTTTTATCTTTCCTGCATTACTGGGATGTTGCCTGTGAAACATAAGCACAGCAGAGAGTTGCATCTTCACCAGCACAAAGATTATGCAAGAAACTATCCTTACTGTTTTCATTTACTCTTGGAATGGTTTGGGTGAAAAGGAACCCTAAAGGCCATCCAGTTCCACGCCCTGCTATGGGCAGCGACAACTTCCCCTATCCCAGGTTGCTCCAAGCCCTCTCCAACCTGGCCTTTCTTTATTTTCCTGGTGATTCACCATCAAAAGGCAAGCAAGAAAGTGAAACTAATTTCCACTATGGAGGCCACTGGCATCCCACACCAGGACCTGTTATGTCCCGCCCTGGACACTCCCTGGGCTCCTCAGGAACTTGGTAACTGACATCTGGCAGTTCTCCTCTGCTTTAGGATAGTCCCATTAGGAGATTTTAGGAGGTGGCAGCACACAGACACAGGCTGCCCACCCGACTTCTCCTCCCAAGGGAATACAAGCTTTTCATGCCACAAGTGTGCCTTCCTTCCACGCCTCCATCCCACTGAGCAAATGACAAATTCTTCTGGTGTTTTGAGCTGATTTTCAAAATGCTTTCTCTAATCTGTCTCCCTTCTAAAGCTAAGTCCTGAAGTAAAACAAACAAACAAAAAACCAGGGTGGCAAAGTTAAAATTGTGAAGACTTAAAGATATTTTTTCCCTAAGTTTAGATCACCAAGGGCAGAGCTTAATATCAACACCGGGAATCTGTCAGATGCACACGCCATCCAAGGACAGAGGGAAAAAGCAGAGAATCCTGGAAAGCTGCGTCTTCCACATTTCACTTTACCCAGAAAATCTGCAGTCACTAAAACTTACTCTAACTGGGTGGCATTTTACATTTCCAAATGTAATTGAGTGAGCGTGTTGCCATGGCGACAGCAGGGTTCTGTAATAACTTTGTTGCCTTGTAATTGCCGTATATTTGTATACAAGCAGCTGAGCTTTCTTTAATTCAATGCCCTCAACTCTTCCAGCGAGGCTGCGGAGCGACGGCGGCAGCTTTTTAGGCTGAGAACTCCGAGCAGCGGTGCTGGAAACATCAGAAACAATTAAAACTCAGCGCCGCGACCGACCGCATTACACACACACACAAACACACACAAAAAACACCCCACCAGGAAACCCGGCCAAGAACCAGATTATTATATAAACTTCAGAGCTCCTTAGCTTTTAAAAATGTTGCCGTTGCAGCGACAACAACAACAAGCAAGAAAGAAAAGCACAATTCGGATAATTAACTCCAGGTAGGTTTGGCAACGAGCGAAGCACTTTGAGGGCAGGGAATAAATGCAGCACGAGCCCCATTTATTGACAGGGCATAATACCAGTAAATCAAAACGCCTTGGCCAGGGGATCATTCACTCGCTGTGGCTCCCGGGGCCAGAATAAGGCTTGCTCCATCTCCCCGGCCTCCAAGCAGCGCTGTGAGGACAAGGGGATGCAGCTGTAGGGAACCAGCACGGCACCGTGCTGCCTGGTGGGAAAGAAGCGCCAGGACGGGAGAGAGCCAATGCCTCGCCGCACGCCCCATCCCAGGGTTTTATAAGGCGTTTTCACACCCTGAATCCACCCACACCTTCCCGACACGGATCCCCACTCCTTGGGAGCGTTTTCAGAGCTGTAATCCAGCCCGGAATATGAGGCAAGGCTGGAACACGAAATCCTCCCGGTACGGGCGTCAGCGACGACAAGCCTGGTTTATGCAAATCTGCCAAAACAGCCTATTGACAGGCAAAAACCCCACCGAAAGCAGCTCCTTCCCCGGCCGCGGAGTGGGCGCACAACACAATTACGCAAGGGCTTTGAGCGAAAGGCAGGTTCCCTTCCCGTCCAGCCGCTGCCCAGCGCCGAGCACTGACAGCGTCAAATTATTGTTATGTAAATCCATCTGCTCCGCCGAGCTGTCACCGACACCCCGGAGAGCACATCTGGGCCGGCGGGCAACATTTCGGGGGAGTGCGGGGATCGCGCAGCATCTTCCCCTGATAAATCCCTGCAGCAAAACCCACATGCGGCTGCCGGGCAACACCTCCCTCTGCCGCGCTCCTCCGCCAGCCCCACAGCCCGGCTCCTTCTGCTTCGCTTCGCCCGGCGCAAGCCGAGCCCGGAGGATTGGCAGCGGCACACGTGGTTCATCCCTCCTCGAACCCCCAAAAACGCAGTTCTGCCGGCGAGGCTGCAGCCCTAGGCCTCCGACCTGAGACCGCCACCGCCGGGCTCCCCGAGAGCGCCGCGCTGCCCAGGGCAGCGCTCCCCGTTCGCTCCTCGCGGGCACAAAAAAAGCCATTTTGGGGCTTTTTTTCCAGGAGGAGGTGAGTGCCGCGGGGCCCGAGCCCGGCAGCTCCGGGGAACGGGGCGAGAGGACGCAAACTTTCCCCAAGTCCCGCGTTATTCCCAGGATAAGGGCAAGGCAAGGAGGCGCGAGGGGACAGGATGGAAGAACCGACCCCGGGCCGCGGCCCGCCCGGCGCCGCAGGGCCCCGCCGCGGGCGTCGCCCCCGC